GGGGGGGGGGGGGCGGAGTCCGACATATCTTCTGGACATGGTTGTCTCCATGCAAAACAACCCCCCTAACTCTCCATGACACGATCGCTCATGTATTGGTTGTATCCATTTTTCGTCGCTGGACCGGCATGAATCCTTACCCAAGAGAAAGAAAAAACCTACACCTGTACTCAAGCTTTCAAGAATAAATAATCAAATTATGTATACCCGACCCCGGTCGTCGAAAGCGAACGCCACGGAAACCTCCTACGATTCCCTCCATGAGCATACGCCAATCCCCCCGCTACTCAATTGAGCCGCATCTGTTCCACCAATCAAATCAACATTCGAGACTCATGCATCAATCGAGCCGTCGTGCTTGGGGGCGAAGCTTCCGCTTCCCTCGAGCCAGGCGTCCATCTGGCCGCTGCTGGCCAGGACCAATCCTAGGAACGGCGGCGACGGTTCCAGCGGTCTGCTCAAGAACTCGGGGTGGTACTGCGTGCCCACGTAGTACGGGTGTTTCGAACCTGAAGAGCAAAAAAAAAAACGAATCATAAATGAAGAACACAGCGCGGTCGATGCTAAGTCTTCTCTACTTGCAAGGGTGGAGAGATTAGGCCCCTGTCGTCAACTCTCCTTCACGTCGCCTGCCCGTGTTTCCTCTTCGGCTGTAACATTAACGTCGTTTCATGGGTCAACCGGTTCGAACGGTCGACACTAGTCTAAACAAGAGTGTGACAGAGGAGTTGTTTTGAGAAACTCCGGGCCATGACGCAACGCACAAAAAGGGCAAGACCACACGGTAGGCAGGTGCTGGAAGCTGCGTTACGAGATATTGGAGTAGCATTCTATATTACAGATACAAAACAAGTGATCAACGGATATGGGATTTGAAAATTACAGAAACAAACAATGATCATAAAATGACATAGGAAAATATTGGGTGGGGTGGAAACCATGTCGAAAGCAGGGGCTGCTGGGTGTGCAGATGTAGCGCTCACGTGGGATCTCCGCAATCTCCATCCTCAGCCCGCTCTCGTCCCGTCCCACAAACTCCAATCCCCCCGCCTCAATCTCGTCGATCTTCTCCGGGTTCACCTCGTACCTTCCATCACACGTACAGGCGGAAAAAAGCTCGTCGAAGTGCTTCGTTGGACGGGTGAGTGGCGAGTGCAAGCTCTTTCGGGGGTGGTGCCAACGTCCCAGTATCTGACCTCGACAGCCCCGACATTCCTCCCGACCATCTCCTGCCGCCTTCAAGCCTTAATCGCTACGATTCCCAAACGAAAGATGTCGCGACAAGCTCTACCTACCCCTTCTGGTTATTTGCAAGCGCTGATATTTTCGTCTCGCTCCCAACACTACAGAATCAACTGGCCGGTGTCACACCGTCAACCGAGCGTAGGCAAACCAACGCCCGGCGGCAAGCATCCCTTGGGGCAACTTGCTCTTGGTTTTTGTTGCATGCGCTGGTGTTCGGGCCTTGCCTAGCTTTGCTCTCTCGATGTACTATTTCTTTCATGTACTTTGTAATAATCCCTTTGCTTTCGTTCGCTCATCGTGCCAACCTCGCCTACGCCGGTAAAGTTCCTTCCAAAATTGTCGGTCGAGCCCAACTATCATTGTTTCCTTCTCTTCCGCCATTTCTTTTGTCTTTCGTATTCTTCCCACGCTTGGCGTCGTGGGTCGTCTGTGGGGCCAACCTGTCGATACTATTTCCTTCTCTTCGTCATTTTATTCTCTTCACAGTCCCCCGCTTGGGCCTCATGGGTCGTCTGTGGGGCCAACCTTTCGATACTCTTTCCTTCTCTTCGCCATTTTATTCTCCTCACAGTCCCCCGCTTGGGCCTCGTGGGTCGTCTGTCGGGTCAACTATCATTATTTCCTTCTCTTGGTCATTTAACTTCTCTTTCGTATCCCCCCACTTGGCCTCGTGGGTCGTCTATCGGACCAACCTTTCAATTTTGTTTCCTTCTCTTCGTCATTTTGTCCCTTTCGTGTTCCCCCGCTCAGTTCTCGTGGGTCTTAGATAACTCACCGATGCCGGTGTCGCTCCATCACCTCGGACACGTCCCCGTAAAGCTTCGCCGACACCGAAGACTCGCCGCTCGAGAAAGGTCTGATGATCGTCTTCCGCTGACCTAGCCGCATCGTTGCGCCCATCACTGAAACGTCAAAAGCCAACGGGGTAGAAAAGGGTGATTTTTCTTGGTGATGGAATGGACACTTTCAGCCGATGCATCGCAACTCTTAGCCAGGGTTCAAAGGGGTCCTGCCCGTTGGTCTCCCCCACACGTTCCTTTCCGCACGAATGGCTGCCCCCCTGCCTCGTCTGGGTGATTATCCGTGTCCCTAGCCCCCCTTACCCTCAGCACTATCCAGTCTCTCCTCTGTCAGGATCTCCCTCTCTCTCGTTCTCTCTCCTTGCCTCGTCTGTGTTATGTATCCGAGTCTCTAACGCCCCCGCCCCCATCACCCTCAACATTTCGTAGTCTCTTGCCTCCGTCAGCGTCCCCTCCCTCAGCATTTCGTAGTCTCTCTCCTCTATCCGTATCTCCCGTTCCTCTCTGAACCCTCTCTAGGACTGCCCCTGTGTTGGTATATCCCTGCCTCGCGGTCCCTCTCTGTACATCCACGAAACCCCCTCTCGGCCATGCCGTGCATCGTCAGACAACCAACAACAACCAATAGAAATCGAGACACCACACCATACCATACCATACCTTTCTTGTCGACCTCCGGCATGAAGATTACCACGGGGTGCGGGGTGTCCTCGTCGCACTCCGTGCTGTTGGCCCCCTCCCAACCCAGCAGACTCCGGCAGTGCTCCACCACCATGCACTGGAAGCCCAGGCATACCCCGAGCAACGGCTTCCCCGTCTCTCTCGCCCACCTGAATGAATGGGGGGGGGGGTTGTCGTGTGTTTTACTTGCGTTAATTGCGTGAAAGCGCGGGGAACGCAACCGACCGGCGTGCAATATACGCTACAGCAGGAGATTGCTCCACCCACCAAGAGGCTGCCAATGCCGACAACGGGTGGTTTGTTGAACGATCTCGTGGAGATCTCTCGCTCCTTGCTTTCCTTGCACGCGTCGGTCACGCGTCGGGCGGGTTTGGCACCCTCGTGGCTGATGAGCAATCGACCTAAAAATCGATCGATCGCACACGCCTGTACATTCGCCCGCACTCGTAAACACTAGTTTGACCCTTGAACACGAGTCTTTTAGACATGAGCAACGATGCTACCCTCCAACAAGCAGAGACACGACCAACTTATGGGCGTTCTTGGTGCAAGCGCGGCAAATTAAACGTGGGGAACCCCGTGAAAATATCATTCCCTCATCCCAGAGGGGGGGGGCAGGTCGAAACTAAGACACGAGCCTGCTTAAAAAAATGACGATTCAAGAAAAACAGTCAGCAACAGAAGAGCCCAACGGTACATTAGACCGCCAAGTAAAAAAAAAAAGTTCGTTTCGTGCAAACTCCCCCAAAACGAAGCCTGCCGCCGAACTGGCCTCTACTACAAAAGAAAGAAAGAACATTCTTCATGTGCGTTTCTTCGTGCCCAAGACTCGTTCCGGGCACTGCTGCGGTCAGGAACCCCTACAACCCGCCGCCACCGCAAGATTCCATTTAGATGTTCCGAGGTGTTGACAATAAAATGTGACAACGTGGGCTCACTTTGCGGTAAGGATCTTCCCCTCCACCCCTCTCGTGCCGAACCCCCCGGGTAGCACCACCCCGTCGACGCCCGTGAGGGTGCTCCACGCCTCTGCATGCTTGTCCGGGGATGCCTCCTTGGACTCCACCTACGGCAAGCGATCGAGGCAAGAAAACACAACAGTCGGTTCTCGGAACGCAGCGGACACTACCGTGGTACATTCCTTGGAACACCGTCACGAGAGCGATAACCACCGTCGGCAATGACGGCGGGGCCAACGCAGCAGCGGCAGTAGTGACAGCAGCAGCCACAGCAGCGATAGCAGCAACAACGCCGACGATAACAGCTTGCAACTAAACAGGCAGCAAGCAACAACCCGAACGATAACAACATCCATCAACAACCACAGCGAGAGCAGCAGCAACAGCAACAACGACAGCACAGAGAGCAACAGCAACAGCAACAAACAACAACAACAACAACAACAGCAGCAGCAGCAACAACGACAGCACAGAGAGCAACAGCAACAGCAACAAACTACAACAACAACAACAACAACAACAACAGCAGCAGCAACAACGACAGCACAGAGAGCAACAGCAACAGCAACAAACTACAACAACAACAACAACAACAACAACAGCAGCAGCAACAACGACAGCACAGAGAGCAACAGCAACAGCAACAAACAACAACAACAACAACAACAGCAGCAACAGCAACAAACAACAACAACAACAACAACAACAACAACGACAGCCAAGAAAGCAACGGCACCCGCACGGATGAATGGCGCACCTCTAAGTCGGACGCCTCAACCCAGATGAGCTGCAGATCTCTCTTCGCGTGCACGGCAGAGTGCTTCAGGGCCTTCACAAGCACCAAAAACAAACACCACAACATCACAACAGCGGCCACCAGCGAGCAAACGAAAAACGTTGAGCGGGGGGGAAATGTGAGAGATCACGCATGCACGATGTATGCAATATGTGGAACGTATTTCAGTGGACATAGATGACATCTCAACCAAACACACCAAAAAACAGGAAGCAAACCAGACATAATGTGACTCAACACATGAGATGTTAGGGCTTTGGGTGGTGTCAAAAGCCTCGGGATCGTCTCGCGAGTCGTGTCGAAAACTGTTCACGTGTCAACATATTTTGTTCGCAGTTCCCTTCCCTCCATGCTACCATTCGATCCTTTTCTGCGATGCTGATGAAATAGTGCCGACACCGCACCACGTTGTGTTAAAACGGTCAAGCACCCTCCAGGCAGTTTCACAGTGCTTACAACTGTCTCAGGAAGATAAAGCACCAGAAAATACATTCAGTCATACGCAGCTGTCATCCGTATG